AGAGAGAGAGAGAGAGAGAGAGAGAGAGAGAGAGAGAGAGAGAGAGAGAGAGAGAGAGAGAGAGAGAGAGAGAGAGAGAGAGAGAGAGAGAGAGATGTGAGAGTTCAATAAATGATTGAAAACAATTCTCAGCCACTTGTCTTTTTTTTTGAGAGCGGTCCCTGACTGCAATGTTGCTGGGTTTAGGGTTTTGAGGGTTAATCCCGATGAAGATAGAAAGATAAAGAGGAGGAGGAGGAGGAGGAGGACGACGACGACGAGGAGATGGCGAAGGTGTTTCTCTCCAGCTCCAGCTTTGCACTGAGAGTTCCAAGCATCACTCAACCTTTGTGTAGGACCGAGTACCTACCTCTTTGTTTTTCTTTTGTTTTTCCCTTTTTTTTTTCTAACTTTTTCCTTTTCTTTTTTTCTGTTTTTTCTTTCTTTTCTTTTTTCTTATTTTTTTCCTTCTTCCGTACGAAGCACACATACCTCTGGCAGTTGTATTGGTGACACGTACTCTTGCTGATGGGAACCGTTGTATCGCCTGGATTCTGTTATGTAGCTGATGAACAATCTTTCCATTGCACGAGTTATCGCCACATGTGCTAGTCTCCTCTCCTCCTCCTCTTCCTCTTCAGGCTTTCTACTTGGCAGATCGGGATCATTCTTATCTCGAAACTGTGAGGGCAGGAAACCTTCATTCCAACGAGCAAGAAACACAACTGGCCACTGCAGAGCCCAAATATTTGCCGATACAAAAACAAACAAAAATTTACAAAATTCAATTAAACGTTATTCAGTGCTGAAAGTGCAAAGCCGACGAGTACATGAGAAATGACAGTCAACAACAAGCATGTGCACCCACTCACACACACACACATCATCACACACACACACACACACACACACACACACACACACACACACACAGACACAGACACACACAGACACAGACACACACACACCCACACACACACACACACACACACACACATGAAACAGGAGCAGGGGTTCGGATGGACAGTCTGCTAGGATTGCAGGGTTGGTGTGAGTAAAGCTGACCACTTTTCTCTCTCAGGGATGGGTATTGCTAACTGTGGGCGACGTGGCGACTGCTTATCCATCAGTCAAGCGCATCCTGGGCAGACTGCCGGGGTTAAACCTGTCGATGAGCCGGTGATTCGGTGAAAATCCGATGAAACAGTCTGGCACAGACATGCTCTTTTTCTGGAGTTGTGTATAGCGAACACTACAACAAACACACAAACACACACACACCCTCTGTCTTAGGTAAGTTGCTTCTTGCCCTCCACTTTTTTAGCGACCAAAGAAATATATGCATATATCATCAAACAGAGCTTCCCGGCAAACCGTAGGCAGAGAGGGAGAAGAGGACAACAAACGAGGGGCTGTGACAAACTGTCTCATCGGAGTTTCACCGACTCATCAGAAGGCTGTGCAAGTGTGCCGCCAGACAGGTGTGTGGGCATGTGGCGCTGAACCACACAAACGTGGCCAACCTTGCATGTTTGATTATATTGTCTATCTATACTTTTTCGTTATGAATGGCTTGTTTAACTTTGTTATGATTTGTGGAGGAAATGAGTGACACAATTTGGGGTGCTTTAACAACACACACACACACACACACACACACACACACACACACACACACACACACAACACACACACACACACACACACACACACACACACACACACAACACACACACACACACACAC